GGTTAAAGGTACTCTTGATTTGGCCCATTTTTAATATATCGCCAATTTGGTCGATAAATTTTCGCCTAGGGCGACCCTTCCCGACTATGCCGTTCACTTCTGCAACATAAATTTGCTTTGTCACTCTTTCCTCATTCATTCTTTCTACATGGCCAAACCACCGAAGCATTCCTTTCTTAATCCTGGTCACAACATCATCTTGCAAACCACACTCTTCTCTTATTAAACAATTTCGCACTCTGTCATTCAGCTTCATCCCTAACATACTCCTTAATGACCGCATTTCTACAGCATTTATTATACTCTCATGCTTCTTCTGCCACAACCAACTTTCACTACCATACATTAAAGTAGGTACTAACACAGCATTGTGAATACCCATACGTGCCTTTTTGGACACATTCTGACTTTTCACAATAGAGTGTAGAGCCCCATTCACTCTATTTCCTGCATTCACTCGTCGTTCTATATCCTTATCATATCTACCATCCCTGCTAAACACACATCCCAAATATACAAACTCATCTACTTGCTCTACCAACTCCCCTTCTATTCTTATTTCACATATCGTTTTACTTTCTTCTCTTTCAAAAACCATAACTTTCGTCTTACTTGCGTTCACTTTCATTCCCTTTTCTTTTAATGTGCTGTTCATTAATGTAACCATCATTTGCAACTCGGCTGCCGACGACGCAAGTATGACTTGATCATCGGCGTACAAAAGGCATTTGACGGTTAACTCACCCATTCTTAACCCGCATTCTTCTACTTTCAAATTTTCCAAACAACTGTCCATAAATAGGTTGAACAACCACGGGGAAGCCACACAGCCCTGTCTGACACCTTTATGGATGTCAAACCAGTCAGAGTAGGCCCCGTTGATCCTGACACAAGCACTAGAGTCCCTATATAGAGACTTCAATGCCTGTATCAGACCAGCGCTCAACCCAAATGAGTTCAGTGTTTGCATATTACATCCCTGTCCACTCTGTCATAAGCCTTCTCCAAGTCCATGAACGCACAAAAAACTTTTTGGTTTTTGGCCAAAAACTTCTCGGCGATCATGCGCATGGAAAAGACCTGATCGGTACATCCCATTCCCTTTCTAAATCCCGCTTGCACATCCCAAATTTTTCCGTCAGTTTCTTTCATAACTCTTTCAATTAGTACCTTAGCATACAGTTTTCCCACAATGCTAAGAAGGCTGAAACCACGGTAGTTTTTACAGTCCTGCTGTGATCCTTTTCCCTTATATATTGGGACTATTCATTGACCTAGAATCATGAAATTCAGCAAGAAGCAAAGTCTCACAGCAAGTAAGGGGAAAAATATGAAATCCGTTATTTTGTTGTTATATAAAAATGTTTTTACGATAACGAACTTACATTTGCAGGAGCATTGACCGTGATGTGTAGACTGATATATGTGTATGGGAGATGTTTTTTTAATGCAAAGTCAAGTTTGTCGTTCTTTACTTTTTTATTATAGCAATGTTCGGTGTTTAACTTAAATATAATTCAGGAATGTACTTCCTATAATATATATAATAATTAAATTTATATAATAAATAAATATTACCTTTGTTAATTTACGACATTCATGTACCTATTGGCATCGAAAACAGGCAAAAATCGTAGTCTCGATGCCCAGGATTGACGCACTGAACTATTTACATACATAATTAAGTTTTTTCGGAACCCTTAGAGCACGAGTGATATATTATTATTATTAAATGTCATATTATTATTAAAGCCATACTTTTTTTTTAAATAAGTATTTACATAGCTGCTGTGGCTACGGACTAGTATACCTATATGTAGGTATTAGTAATGTATGACTGCGAAAGTATCTATGTGAAAGCATTCCCGTAACCCTGCCGATAAAAAACTTGAAAGAAGTTGGAGTACGTATGTGACTTTTGCGGATGTATGTGTTACGGCTAAAAGCCGAAGCGCGGTTACACTTAGTTCTAGCCGGCTAGAACTAGGTGCGGCCAGCATTAGTTGGTTAAATTTAGGTGTACTGCTAAATTTGTAAAAACACGAATATACGTATCAATTTATATCAGCGACAGTAGGTTAAGGTGTGGTTGGGGTGGCCCTTGTACCACTCCTAAACCGTAGGCCTTTATCTAATTTATAAATTATACACGATACACCTACGTTTAACCAACCGCAATAGGCTGCACCTAGTAGTAGCCGGTTAAACCTTGGTGTAGCCGCACTTCGGCTTTTAGCCATAACATATTCAAAAGTATTCTCGTGGCTTTGCCAATATGCGGCGAAAGGGGAACACGTCATGGGATTTTAGTAGGTACGAGTCCGATATAACCGTGTAATGCGTAGGCATTTTCTCAAAACTCATGACAAAAGTGTTGGCTTTATCCATTGCAACTTCACGAGATCTAGGATTTCAAGAATTGGAAACGATATAATTGTCATAGTCTACTACTTCTCCACGGTAACGCTCGTCGAAACACAGCTTAACGTACTGTCTAAAAATTGAAAAATTGCAGCCTAAGCTCTAATTTCACAATACAACACGAATGAGTAGACTCGGCCGTGGAAGGACCACACTCTTACAGAATACCTACATATAATAGCAGCATAGTGCTCGTGTGTTTTATATGGTGAGTGTTTCTTCGAATCTGTTTTATTTTGAATTGATGATAAATGTGGATAGGTGTCTGTGGGCCTAACTGGCTGTTCCGATCAATAAAGTTAAATGATTTTTTTCTATCATAGTTCACAGAACTGATCCTCGGCTAGAATTTGTACGAACTTATTTATTTTTATTTATTTATTTTATTCCATTTACATGTGATTTTGTGTGACACATTACAGCACACGCACCCTGCAGGGGTATAACACTATCAATTAAAGCTAACATTAATTTCCAATATCTTAATTCTAATCTTTATATATAAAAATTACGTGTCACATTCTTTGTCCGCGATATACTCCTAAAGTACTGATTGCAATGAAATTTTGCACACTGTGTGCAGTTTGGTCCAACTTGAGAGATAGGATAGTTTTTATACCTATTAGTGACCCTCAATATTATTTATTACGAATTTAATAAGTTTTATAGGACACAGGGTCGTCGGAGAGGGCAGAACAACGTCTGTCTGGCTAGCTAGTATTTATATATCTTTTTACATTATAGGTATTGTTATAGTATTTACTATACATTATATTATACTTATTTTTTATTTTAATTGGATTATTTAAAAGGTAATTTATGCAACTTCAATGAATAAACTAGTTTTTCTGCCACCAGGGCGGCGCCACTTTGGAATGACGTGATATATTTGACAGATTTTAAAGCAGTGAAGTTAATTTGTTAGGAAAATGTAATGGTTAAGGCAAAGAGATTTAAATATATAGAGCGGACATTGGGAATATTTATATACAAAAACTTTAAGCTTGTGCGCGTGTGGCACCCTCTAGCTAAAAATAGCAAAACAACGCTAAGTATTTATTAAGACAACATTTTAGCTATTCCCCAGTAGGTGACGCTAATAAATATAACCTCGTTTTAGGAATGTTACTGTTTCGATATCAAAGTATCAATAATGTTGTTGAAGATTACTAAATTTGAAATGCTTTTCGATATAATAATAGAAAATATACATGATTGTTTTATAATTAAAATTGGTAACTAAATAGTGACGTTTACTGGATAACAGAGGGCGCTTATTACAATAAAAATAAATGTTCTAGAACAATCTACTAGAAATAATAAAATTTAAAGATTATTCGGTAAATATATGTTATATTTACGATAATAAACCGATATCACGTTCATTTTTTGCTCCATATCGTGACTTACAATATCTTAATGCACAACCGGGCATATTTTCTATAAAAATATTTTTAAATATATGAAACGAATGCGTTTTGACTTTTTGACGATGTCACTAAGACTAAATGACAAAAATCGGAGATATATCCTATAGGACATAAGTTACAGACGACAATTTTGTTACTGATGTCGGGTCTATTACTACTACTACTTAAATGTCTTTGAGCTAAAATGTTGTTTTAATAAATGCTTAGCGTTGTTTTGCTATTTTTAGCTAGAGGGTGCCACACGCACACTAGCTCAAAGTTTTTGTATATAAATGTTCTCAATGTCCGCTCTATAGTATACCTATATATTTAAATCTCTTTGTTACTACTACTACTTAACTGTCTTTGGGTTAAGGTTTCTTTATGTAATATTGATTATACAGGGTTATTTTTCAAAGAGTAGCCAAATTTTACTCATAAGTTCAAATATATAAATAATGATATACCATTATTGCAGTTTTTAAAAATAGTAGTAAATAAGGCTTCTTGTTTTATTTGAAATTATCCCAAATTAAATGCGGTTTATGGGCAACAACGTTTTTGCCTACCGATCGAAATTTACGAATGTGTGCGTGCCAGGTAAAATCAGTTAAAATAATTGCATTACCACGCATTTTGAATTTAAATTATTTTTTATTCACCATTTGCCTATATTATTTATTCTGAACCTTCTCTGCAAATTTGGCGGCCTATTGCAAAATAGCCCTCTATTTCATATTAATTAAATTTTCTAATTTGATGAATAATCCATACCATGGTATATTCCTAAAAGGAAAAAAATTCAAAAAAATAGTTAAAAAAGTTAAAGAGCAAACCACTGAAGAATTGTTTTGTGTATTAATATAATAATTTAGAAACTGATGAACTTTTATTTAAAACTAACTACTCAAATAAATAACATTGTGTAACAAAAAATTTCACCTCAGTCCAACTAGAGACATCTAGTGAGTGGAAGATTGTTAGCCCTCTTTACCATCGGATTTGTTAAATTTCAACTGTCTTGAAATTTATATGTGACCTAGAAAGTATACTGAACTCGAGGGTATACAGTATACAGCCTTACATTTTAAAAATACAGTGGAATTGATAAAACTATAAAAAATAATATGGCACAGCACGTATGTTTATATTACATAAAACGATAAACACTCAAAGATCACAAATGCAAAGATATTGTCTGAAAACGCAAAATTCTTGACACCAATTAAACATCATTATTGCGATTGTTGCAGTTTTTTGTCTGAATAAAGCAATTGATTTTATATTAATTTTGGAAAGCGTAAGTAATACATTCAGTATTTTAGCAAACACTGTTATTAGATTAGCTGTCATATGCGGCAGAAATAAGGCAGGATTTTGCTGTAAGAAAAAAAAAATGAATCAGTAAATGCTGCAACAAATGACTCTCGAGGAATTTCGTTCAGGTTTAAAATCCAGCTGGGATTAACATTAGTTCAAAAACACTAGTCGCTTATTTAGGATTGTTATTGTTCCCGTATCTCTGATACTGTATCGTTACGTAAAAAAACCATAGAAAATGTTGGAGTGTCACTGTTTGTTCGCAAATAATTACTTTCGATATAGTATGCAGAACTTGTCAACGTTTCGAAATCGTACAGAAAAGATAATAATTACTAAAACTACGGAAATACTACGTAACGTTGTAGAGCCATGCTGCTGCTGTATTAGTAGTATAGTTGTAACACGAATGGGTCGGCTCGACTGGGGAAGGACCACGCTCTCACAGAATACCAGCGTAAAATAGTAGCTTAACGCTGCTGTGTTTCGTATGGTGAGTGTAGAGAATGGGAGACACATTTTACTGGAAACGATGAATTCCAACTTAGTTCTCACAGGTGACAACGCATCTGTTGTTTGACTCGTAATTGAAGATAGATGTAGATGTCTATGAGCCACAGCAACCACTTATCATCAGGTGGACTGTGTGCTGGTTTGTCATCTCTTATCCTATTAAAAAAAACAGTGAATGTTATTTCTCATAAAAATATAAGAATCTTTAATATAACTGCACTACGTCTCCTAAGATACAAAGTTTATATTTGTTGCGAAAGAACTTAAGCACCGTACTTCCACGTAAATGATCGAATTCTTACTGTCAAACATCCAACTAGAAGACAAATGTATTGTACTATTCCCATTGATGCTGCTATAATTTTAAGATCGTGTAAAATAAGTGCGTCTTGAGATGTAAGAGCATTATTATTATTTACGACCATTTTGCCTAAATGTCGTTTTAAGTGGCGAACGCTAATGAACTAAAAAAGAAAAATAAATTGGCTGAAGATCACAAAGAAAACAAAATCTTTAAAAATATAAAAGAGGTGATATTATACAAATCCAACAGTTCCATAGAAATATGTATATGGAAGGCTAATATAAAATGTCGGATAGTGACAAAACGCGTGAAGACTCTTCAAATTAGGTTTCAGTAAAGGAGCTACCAGGCTGGTGCAACTTCCATAGTAAAAATTATATGTACTACAGGGGTCAAATTTTAATGACGGTTACTCTTCTTTATGCTTTTCGTGATATGTCTATTAACGACATTGTCAAATGAAATAGGTTCAAATGTCAAATCAAACAATTGTATTTGTATGTATTTTATTAATTAAGATTGCTTTTAATTTGGCTATAGGAGCCGTTGTTCATTTACAGAATTGTTAAGAAATTTAATATGCATTATAAAACTTTCCAATTAAATGGTGCAAGAAGCGAAAAAAATGATAACAAGAAAAGGCTATTCGTAACAATATTTCCCTTAGATGATGAAAGGTATGTGGTGATTTCAACTTTAATAGTAATATGATATTCAACGCAAGTATATTTTTGGACTAGCCATCTATGTAGGACATGTTTTTATAGTGTACGATTGTGTGCATAAAAACAAACACACTATTTCCTAAATCTGATAGTTCGATGGTTTAGCAATCCGAAACGAACTATACTTAGAAACTACAAGTCAATTCTGACTGCTAACATTCTATTTGTTCAATAATAATGTGATTTTATTTATATTATTTTTTCAGATGCAAGCAATGGGTGAAATAGCTGGCACATGCACCAATTGAAAAGATTCACATGTTAAGACATATTTGTGACAAACATTGCATATGAACCTAACTAAAACGAACTGTTATTTCTTTAGTGGACTTACTTTAAACTTCCACAATTTATGTGTATGTTAATTAGGTTTCATTTACATGTAGCAAAAGTTAATATCCCTCTAAAGTCACATTTTGGCAAGAATTAGATTATATAACTAAATCATTATTTTATTCATCAATAAACATTAGCTATAATGAGCATTTATTTTGAAAGCGACAATTAGTAAACTATCTCTGCGAATAGTATGTACATAGGTGCCTCTGTGAAGAAGTCTAGCGATTTGTACAAAGTATTTGTTACACATAAAAGCAATTTAATCCAATCAGTATTAAAAACCCAATATTTTTACCCTTAAAAAAACTAACGTTGAAAACAGCATCCAGACGCAGACTATTTATTTTACAGCATAGCAAAAATTGTTCAGTGCGGGAAGAAAGCCTCGGTCCTGCAATGCCGCAGCCAAACGCTTAGCCACTGCGCTACGGAGTCGTCATTTATTTTTTACTTAATTAATTACTGGTATAAAAGTGCGTTTTTTATTTTAAATTTTCTTTATACATACTTTTGTACCTAATTGTAGAGATATAAATACAAATTGCTGTGTGTAAAATACATTGATTTCTTATCCTCATCGGCATTTTTACTCAATCCACACGTTTATTTCTCATAAAGAATTCAGTATAGAGATCTAACTTTTCTTATGTAAAAATATCGATAAACAATATATCGATAAAGGTTATATCGATGAAATATTCGAGAATAGACATTTACAGCACTATTGTAATTCGTCAATGTTGTCAACACTGTTTCTAAAAACTAAATGTCATATCTTGATGTTGGTAGAGTAACTTGGCGTAATTTCATGCAATTATTTTTACTATGGAAGTCCCGCCTCTTAAACGTAGTGATTATATTCTCTTTGGGAGCTACAATGAAATTGAACGGTAACTTCATGATAATAAATATCATGGAGTATTTCAAAAATCACATTTCATTTCTAAGGTTATATTTTGTTGCATTGGTTTTTGACAGTTATACGTAGTTACAGATACTAAGTTAAAGACATAAATAAAGATTATACATATGTGCACTATCCATGGAAATACATGTACTTCGTACAAACATCACGGATTTATATAATTTCGTAATACCACAGAATAAATAATAGTTAAAAGAAGTAATACAGTTATAAAACTAATATGGTAGGCAAGATTGTTTACCTTGTTAAACAGTACGCGTTGCCAGAGATGACTTACAGAATTAAAACGTGGTCCTTCACTGCTGGGTGCTGGCCTTACGAGAAAACTCAAAGTCACTCAGTGTGTGAATGAGTATAGGAAGAAAGGTTCTCAGTTGCCAGCCTCGTACTAACAAGCACAGAGTTGGGTAACACCCCATTAGAGGGAGTGACGACCTGATGAAACACCCAGGTGGTCGATGGGTGGAGGTGGTTTTGGACCGTAATTTGTGGCATTATATGAGCGTGGCCTATGTTCAGCAGTAAATTTGAGATGAGCTTTAGTGATATTGATGGTAGTAAAGCGACAGAGGTACTATTCATTGCAAACCTCGTGCGGGTTCTAATCCCTCAGAGACGCAGCGAGCAGCACCGCAGCGTAACGCTGTCATTGCCCTACCGTTTTATTTTACGCTTTTCCTAACCTGGCAATTGCGGAAAATCAGCTTGATAATGACCATATACCTATATTTTAATTCTGAGAATTTCGTTTTTTGTTTTTTTTTTAAAACGTTACACTAGGATTTTCTCCTGTATCGTGGAGGCAGTTTACAAACACAAATTTCACAAGGACAAACATCCAGACCCGGAACAATCATTTGTAGGCCATACAAATACTTGTACCCGTGGGGGATTCGAACCCGCGCCTCCCAGCGCAGCAACACATTGCTAAGCCACTGCGCCACGGAGCCGTCTTCGATTTTTAATAATGCACGAATTAAGTGGTTATTTTAGGTTTTTTATTGTAATCAGTTACTTAATATTAGTTTATTAAGCAGTAAGTAGATGGCGCTTTTGTTAGATTAAGCCACAGAAGAAATTCACTATCTACCGAGAGAAGAATGCTATCTTCGAACTAAAAAAATGAAACGCATCTATGAGAATATACTACTAGCACCACAGCGGGCGCCCAAGCGAAACTTTTTTCGCCGGAATTTTAAGCCTTTGTATTTGTAACTTTAAAACTTTTTGTTTATTTAAGACAAATGGCTCAAGCCTCACCCATTGCGTGAATTCCCACACATTTGAGAGGTTGTACCAAAATTACTCAAATTTACTTTAGAGGAGCATGTGGGATAAAATAAAACTATGAATAGTTATAGTTGTATAATTTTATTTTCTGAAAGACCGATTTTTTATAAACTGTACATTATTATTGATGATTTTTATACTTTTACATGTAATATTTCCATTTCGATTTCTATTTTAAATTAACAAAATTTTCATAGTTAAAACTTAATTCAGCCCAATTATATGATCTGAAACAGATAAAATTCGAGTCAATAAGTAAAAATCCTACAAATAACGGTCAATAAATTCAAAATGAAGACTTACCACAATATTGTCATAAGTTTTTCTTTTTCTATTGTAGGAAACCTGCGGAAAGTCTTAAGACTTAATAAGTTTTTTGTTTGCACATTACACTTAACTTACTTTCGATTCTGATCACACATCGTGCATAATATTTTATAATATTCAATTAATTTATAGTCAATAGCATACAGAGTTAACATCTCGCAAATATATATACCTAGTCAGGTCATAAGTATTGTCACACAGTAAAAACTTTTCTTTTAGAATGCTGGCCACAAAAAAGTTTATTGAATTCGAATTTCGAATTGTTCATGAAAATAAAACTGTATACTTTTTAGAATTTTACTCATTTTTAAATATGGAATGGACGCTTAAAGAAGACCGTGTTGCAGTTATTGCGTTGCATCGTTGCGGTTACGCGCCAATTCAAGTTTTTGACATACTGAAAAATTTGAATATAACAAAAAGATTCGTTTATCGTACCATCAAACGATACAATGAAGACTCTAGTGTAGATGACAGGTCAAGAAGTGGTCGCCCTCGGTCTGTTAGGACTCCAGCAGTGATAAAAGCTGTGAAGGCGCGAATTCAAAGAAATCCCAAACGTAAGCAGAAACTGTTGGCCCTTCAGATGGGGTTAAGCAGAACCACGGTGAAAAGGGTGTTAAATGAAGACTTAGGGCTTCGGGAATATCGAAGAAAAACAGGACATCGTTTAAATGCTCGTCTAATGGACCTGAGACTGAAGAGATGCCGAGCTTTGTTGAAGCGGTACGCGGGAAAAAAATATCAGGAAATTCTTTTTTCGGATGAAAAAATTTTTACCGTAGAAGAGAACTACAACAAACAAAATGATAAGATGTACGCACACAGTAGTGAAGAAGCGAGCAACCGTATTCCACGTGTCCAACGAGGTCATTTTCCATCCTCGCTCATGGTATGGTTGGGAGTTTCTTATTGGGGCTTAACAGAGTTACATTTTTGTGAGAAAGGTGTAAAAACGAATGTAGTTGTGTATCAAAATACAGTCCTGACGAACCTTGTGGAACCTGTTTCTCCTACCATGTTCAATAATAGGCACTGGGTATTCCAACAAGATTCGGCGCCAGCTCATAGAGCGAAGAGCACACAAGACTGGCTGGCGGCGCATCAAATCGACTTCATCCGACACGAAGACTGACCCTCCTCCAGTCCAGATGTGAATCCGTTAGATTACAAGATATGGCAACACTTGGAGGAAAAGGCGTGCTCAAAGCCTCATCCCAATTTCGAGTCACTCAAGACATCCTTGATTAAGGCAGCCGCCGATATTGACATGGACCTCGTTCGTGCTGCGATAGACGACTGGCCGCGCAGATTGAAGGCCTGTATTCAAAATCACGGAGGTCATTTTGAATAAACTTTAGTGTCATAAGAATCTATGTTTTGTTAAGTTCATTTTGGTATATAAATGGTTACATAATGGATAAACTTGTTTCAATTATTTTATATTAAACATGTGACAGAATTTATGACCTGACTAGGTATATATTTAGACGCTAATAACTTATCGTACGTAATATTTCTTTAAAATAAAAACATATGGACTTAGTTTTTCATTATATATCTACAAGACTTCCAAAAATTATAAAAAGTAGACTATGTTTACAGCAGAGAAAACGTTATCGCTTTTTGTATGAAAATTTACAGCTTCACAAGCCTCTTAAAGGATAAAAAAGATAGCTATGTCACATATTGTCTTTAAAAGGCTGTAGCCGGTTTTTTATCTTTTTATATACAATAGACAATTCTAGTGATGGTAACTGTAGAAAAGAACAACTTTGTCGTTTTATCTATGGCCCAATAAAATGAAGGATTTAAATAAAACGTCTTATACTTACACAGTCCATCTTGACGTACGTCCCGCCAAGGTCATGCACGATGCACGATGTAAAACGATAATGAATAGGGTTGACGTACGTCACTTGACGTACGTCATTGCTGTACGCCAAGCCTACAAGCCTTCACGAAAGTATTCACCAATGGAACTGAAAAAAAATTGATTTTGATTCGATTTTGCTAAAATTTGTTTTAATTTGGCTGCATTTTGTAATTCCGGTAGATCGTGCTAAGTTAAAAAACCCACTAAAAGAAAATCTGTTTGCCAAATTTGGCAACGCTTTTCCATCAGTTTTACATTAGTTAGGTATAAGCAAAATAACACAAAGTACAAATTCATACAAAATATTTATTTGCAGTTTACATATAAATAAAACCAATTTAACTATATCAAAATAAGGAATGTAATTTTTATTGTGTCATATACCTTTATCACTCATTTTATTTAGTAAATTGTTTGTACCTGCCACAGTTTCTCAAATCATCCAGGGTTGACTGGTAGAAAATGCAATAAGACAAAAGTTCGCCCTTTATATCTCTTATTATAAGGTGTGAAATAAATATATATCGGTAAGTAGCGCCATGAGTTCGATTCGGACTTTATATTATAAATTAAGACGGCTTCTAATAAAATTAAAATGTCATGGAGTATAATTAATAGTGAAACTGGTAAGGTCCGCTCCCGCAATTAAAACTACCAGTTAAGTTTTAACAACAAATTAACTAAATCAGATCAGGACGTTGCAATGGTTTTTGAGAAATATTTTACTGATATTCCGATCTTAACCACCGAATCACTGAGTTCTTCTCCTACCGTCGCCGAATCATTACTTAAACAAAATGTAAATGCGTGTACAAAGAATTTTACATTTCATAAAGTGTTGTCAAAATATATTGTAAAATATTTTAAAATATTTTAGATGAGAGATTTCCGTTAAAGTTAGTCTATAATAGATAAAACCACACCTCAACTATTTATAATTTCAATTAACTAGTATAGTGTTTCCTGATTTTAAAGAAGCATAGAAAAATAATATCTTTATTTAGATCTGGTAATACATTGGATCCCGCCAATTTTAGACCTTTTTCTGTACTTAGTAAAATTTTTGAAAAAATTATCTTGATCAAATGTAAAAAAAAATAATGTAAATAATTTACTACGTAAAAATCAATTCGGTTTCACAAGGGTTCTTTCGAGAACTGATGCTGGCGTGGAGCTGATTAAATATATCTTCAATGCATCGAAGAATTCACAGGTAGCTTTGGGCATATTTTGTAACCTATCCAAGGCCTTTGATTGTTTTCACCATGAAACATTAATCAGGAAACTTCAACACTACGGTCAACGTACGAGAAGTGATGCTCTTATATTAATTATTTCATAAAAGTAACAGAACGCAAAAAGTTGTCATCAATAGTATGAGTTCTACCTGATCGATAGTACAAATAATATAGTATTATTTGTTGATGATACTTTATTAATTTTCAAATTAAAACGACAATTATTAAAATATGACGAAGTAAATAATGCTATATCTAAATTATTATTAAAATTAAACCAATTTAGGTTTAATATTAATAATTTGCGTTTAAATGGCACTAAAACTAAATGTATGAAATTCATAACACTAAATGTCAAACAAAATAGCAAAAAGGCTGACAGACGATATCAAGATTATTGGAGGGACAATTTGGTCAAATAATAACAGAGAAGAATGGAAAGAGCTGGAAGAGGTCTATGTGTCACAGGACACGCTGACCACTAAACTGGGAAATCAGATATGCTAGATTATTTATTAAAGTAAAACAATCATTTACTATGTTAAAAATAATTTATATTGTTTGGTATCAGCAATGAAGGCAAATTAAAAAAAAAACGAAATACATACATGTAATTCATGTCTTCAAATGTGAAACATTTGAATACTTATGTAAATTTAAATGGGGGGGAGCTGAGTCTTGTCGATACTACCATTTTTCTTAGAATCACACTAAATACGAAGCTTCAATGGGGCCTGCATATATCAAAAGTAGCAAGCGGACTTCGTTATGCAGCATACGCTGAAAAAGATTAGAAGTTTCAGTGTTGAAACAGCTAGACTAGTTTACTTTAGCTATTTCCATAGCATAATGTCGTATGATATTTTGCTATGGGTACAGGAGACTAAAGAGTTGCCAGACAAAAATTTAAGGAAATTAATATATTAACTTTGGCCTTTCAATACATTTATGAAAATGTACTCAAAAACAAAAGTAGTTTTACAAAAATAGGTGATATTCATAATGTAAATACTAGAAACAGACACAAGTTAGTAGTACCAGTTAGTCGACTCAACCGAGTCAGTTATTCATTATTGGGGCGCTTTTACATAAAAATCCCAGAAAACATATAAAATTTGACCTGCTCAAAGTTCAAAAACTCTAAGTTTGTTTAAAAACAGTTATTATAATATTAAGGAATTTATGGATGATATACCCCCTGGGAAAGGTGATCGCTACCAAGCTATTTATAATTTGTTTTATGTTGTTAATTGTAACATACATGATTGTAAGCTGTTATTTTTTTTTAAAGTCCCACTGGGTTTCTTGCTGGTTCTTCCCAGGACTGGGTTTTTTTTCCGAACCAGTGGTAAATAAAAAAAAGTAACTTTCAATATTGAATAAAGAAGTTTATGTTCCCGTTTCTGTTATACAATGTTGATTTAAGCGTTACACTGGACAAGAAACTAAGTATAACAAAGCATATACGTACAATTATCCTAGTAATATATAAGTCAATGCAAACAACAGAACAAAAAGCTTACTATCCTATACTCTGTTTATGCTTTCGAAAATTCTATCCTTAAATGGGTAAATTTAACGATGATTGAAATTCTGCCATGTTTTAATTATATTATCGATAATATTAGATGTTAAGTTTTCGGTTAAAAACTGTTTAAGAATTTTTATATACCACCCTTAAGTGGGAAAATAAAAAATGAAGGCTAATATAAAATTGTAAACTATTTTGATGCAATTTTCAATAAATCAATCAATTACTTAATATATTCTTTATTGTACATACAATGGAGCAAAAATAATATAAAGAAATAAGGTAGGTATTAAATATTTTATTATTTTTGCTATTTAATTATTTAAGGTAACAATATTTAAAAAAAAATAAGATCCAGACAACCTTATTTCGCAAAGAGTTTTTCATAGCGAATGGCAAAGAGGGAGGTGTACATAAATTATACAATTACGTTAAAAAATTAAATAACAATAAAAACCCAAGATGATGACGCGAAGAACGATGGCAATTATGAGAGTTCCAAGTAATAAGCTTTGAGTTGATTTCTGAAGGAAAAAAAGGGTTAAGCACGGCGAATATGCAGAGGGAAGGAGGTCCCCAAGTGTACAGCTGTAACAGAAAATAAATGAAGAAGGAGGATGAATGTACGGGAGTACATTTTCGAAAAGCCTATGTCTAACCTAAAATCTGCTATCATTATCATTCCGTAATATGAGAAAACTTTCATGAGATTGGTTGAGATCTGCGTATTATGCGATCTCATATAATAAGTGTGGGTCGTAATTGTCTGGAGACTTGTAACACCGCGAGGCGTAAAGCTAGTTGTCATATATTTGCTTTAGATTGTACTAATTAGTCTGTGATTATAGTAACGTTTACATTCGGATATTTCTTTTGAATGTTTTTATATCTTTTATATCACTTTGTTACTGTGATTTATTAAATATAATGGGTTATTCCGTTTATCCACCATAGGGTGGAAACTCGAAAATGCGTATTCATCTACCGCCCCAGACGGGGTGGATAGTCGGAATTCACTTTCATTGGTTCTTTAGACTTTTTACCCCAAGTATAGTTCAACTAAAACACTTTGATTATTAATAATTAATTTGTAATAACGACAAACTCAAACAAAAATAATATTACGTATTGCCGTTACCGTTAGAGCTTATTAAAGTCATGCATTACGTATTGCATTTAAGTCAAATTAAGCTTCTTCGTTTTCAATAATATTTTTTTTATATAATAAG